CATGGCCCTCTATCAGAATCCAGAGTTTGGAGAGATTGGAGAGAACTTAAATTTTTCCGCCCAAAAAAAAAAACGTAAGGGGTCCCACTGTTGTTTTTTTTTTTTTCGTGCCGAATTTGAGTTTCGATATCTCAGCTCTGGAAGGGGCTAGAGCCTCCATTTTTGCACTCAGGTCTAGTCTCATGGCCTCTATCAGAATCCAGAGTTTTGGAAGATTGGAGAAACTTAATTTTTCGCCCCAAAAAAAAAAAACGTAAGGGGTACCACTGTCGTTTTTTTTTCGGGCCGAATTTTGAGTTTCGATATCTCAGCTCTGGAAGGGGCTAGAGCCTCCATTTTTGCACTCAGGTCTAAGTCTCATGGCCCTCTATCAGAATCCAGAGTTTTGGAAGATTGGAGAAACTTAATTTTTCGCCCCAAAAAAAACCGTAAGGGTACCACTGTCGTTTTTTTTCGGCCGAATTTTTGAGTTTCGATATCTCAGCTCTGGAAGGGGCTAGAGCCTCCATTTTTGCACTCAGGTCTAAGTCTCATGGCCCTCTATCAGAATTTGGGAAGATTGGAGAAACTTAATTTTTCGCCCAAAAAAAAAAAAAAACGTAAGGGGTACCACTGTCGTTTTTTTTTCGGGCCGAATTTTTGAGTTTCGATATCTCAGCTCTGGAAGGGGCTAGAGCCTCCATTTTTGCACTCAGGTCTAAGTCTCATGGCCCTCTATCAGAATCCAGAGTTGGAAGATTGGAGAAACTTAATTTTTTCGCCCAAAAAAAAAAAAAACGTAAGGGGTACACTGTCGTTTTTTTTTCGGGCCGAATTTTTGAGTTTCGATATCTCAGCTCTGGAAGGGGCTAGAGCCTCCATTTTTGCACTCAGGTCTAAGTCTCATGGCCCTCTATCAGAATCCAGAGTTTTGGGAAGATTGGAGAAACTTAATTTTTCGCCCAAAAAAAAAAAACGTAAGGGGTACCACTGTCGTTTTTTTTTCGGGCCGAATTTTTGAGTTTCGATATCTCAGCTCTGGAAGGGGCTAGAGCCTCCATTTTTGCACTCAGGTCTAAGTCTCATGGCCCTCTATCAGAATCCAGAGTTTTGGAAGATTGGAGAAACTTAATTTTCGCCAAAAAAAAAAACGTAAGGGGTACCACTGTCGTTTTTTTTTTCGGGCCGAATTTTTGAGTTTCGATATCTCAGCTCTGGAAGGGGCTAGAGCCTCCATTTTTGCACTCAGGTCTAAGTCTCATGGCCCTCTATCAGAATCCAGAGTTTTGGGAAGATTGGAGAAACTTAATTTTTCGCCCAAAAAAAAAAACGTAAGGGGTACCACTGTCGTTTTTTTTTTCGGGCCGAATTTTTGAGTTTCGATATCTCAGCTCTGGAAGGGGCTAGAGCCTCCATTTTTGCACTCAGGTCTAAGTCTCATGGCCTCTATCAGAATTTTGGGAAGGAAATTGGAGAAACTTAATTTTTCGCCCAAAAAAAAAAATAAGGGGTACCACTGTCGTTTTTTTTTTTGGCCGAATTTTTGAGTTTCGATATCTCAGCTCTGGAAGGGGCTAGAGCCTCCATTTTTGCACTCAGGTCTAAGTCTCATGGCCCTCTATCAGAATCCAGAGTTTTGGGAAGATTGGAGAAACTTAATTTTTCGCCCCAAAAAAAAAAACGTAAGGGGTACCACTGTCGTTTTTTTTTCGGGCCGAATTTTGAGTTTCGATATCTCAGCTCTGGAAGGGGCTAGAGCCTCCATTTTTGCACTCAGGTCTAAGTCTCATGGCCTCTATCAGAATCCAGAGTTTTGGGAAGATTGGAGAAACTTAATTTTTCGCCCAAAAAAAAAAACGTAAGGGTACCACTGTCGTTTTTTTTTCGGCCGAATTTTTGAGTTTCGATATCTCAGCTCTGGAAGGGGCTAGAGCCTCCATTTTTGCACTCAGGTCTAAGTCTCATGGCCCTCTATCAGAATCCAGAGTTTGGGAAGATTGGAGAAACTTAATTTTTCGCCCAAAAAAAAAAAACGTAAGGGGTACCACTGTCGTTTTTTTTTCGGGCCGAATTTTTGAGTTTCGATATCTCAGCTCTGGAAGGGCTAGAGCCTCCATTTTTGCACTCAGGTCTAAGTCTCATGGCCCTCTATCAGAATCCAGAGTTTGGGAAGATTGGAGAAACTTAATTTTTCGCCCAAAAAAAAAAAAAACGTAAGGGGTACCACTGTCGTTTTTTTTTTCGGCCGAATTTTTGAGTTTCGATATCTCAGCTCTGGAAGGGGCTAGAGCCTCCATTTTTGCACTCAGGTCTAAGTCTCATGGCCCTCTATCAGAATCCAGAGTTTTGGGAAGATTGGAGAAACTTAATTTTTCGCCCAAAAAAAAAAAAAACGTAAGGGGTACCACTGTCGTTTTTTTTTCGGGCCGAATTTTTGAGTTTCGATATCTCAGCTCTGGAAGGGGCTAGAGCCTCCATTTTTGCACTCAGGTCTAAGTCTCATGGCCCTCTATCAGAATCCAGAGTTTTGGGAAGATTGGAGAAACTTAATTTTTCGCCCAAAAAAAAAAAACGTAAGGGGTACCACTGTGTTTTTTTTTCGGGCCGAATTTTTGAGTTTCGATATCTCAGCTCTGGAAGGGGCTAGAGCCTCCATTTTTGCACTCAGGTCTAAGTCTCATGGCCCTCTATCAGAATCCAGAGTTTTGGGAAGATTGGAGAAACTTAATTTTTCGCCCAAAAAAAAAAAACGTAAGGGGTACCACTGTCGTTTTTTTTTCGGGCCGAATTTTTGAGTTTCGATATCTCAGCTCTGGAAGGGGCTAGAGCCTCCATTTTTGCACTCAGGTCTAAGTCTCATGGCCCTCTATCAGAATCCAGAGTTTTGGGAAGATTGGAGAAACTTAATTTTTCGCCCAAAAAAAAAAAACGTAAGGGGTACCACTGTCGTTTTTTTTTCGGGCGAATTTTTGAGTTTCGATATCTCAGCTCTGGAAGGGGCTAGAGCCTCCATTTTTGCACTCAGGTCTAAGTCTCATGGCCCTCTATCAGAATCCAGAGTTTTGGGAAGATTGGAGAAACTTAATTTTTCGCCCAAAAAAAAAAACGTAAGGGGTACCACTGTCGTTTTTTTTTCGGGCCGAATTTTTGAGTTTCGATATCTCAGCTCTGGAAGGGGCTAGAGCCTCCATTTTTGCACTCAGGTCTAAGTCTCATGGCCCTCTATCAGAATCCAGAGTTTTGGGAAGATTGGAGAAACTTAATTTTTCGCCCAAAAAAAAAAAACGTAAGGGGTACCACTGTCGTTTTTTTTTCGGGCCGAATTTTTGAGTTTCGATATCTCAGCTCTGGAAGGGGCTAGAGCCTCCATTTTTGCACTCAGGTCTAAGTCTCATGGCCCTCTATCAGAATCCAGAGTTTTGGGAAGATTGGAGAAACTTAATTTTTCGCCCAAAAAAAAAAACGTAAGGGGTACCACTGTCGTTTTTTTTTTTCGGGCCGAATTTTTGAGTTTCGATATCTCAGCTCTGGAAGGGGCTAGAGCCTCCATTTTTGCACTCAGGTCTAAGTCTCATGGCCCTCTATCAGAATCCAGAGTTTTGGAAGATTGGAGAAACTTAATTTTTCGCCCAAAAAAAAAAAAACGTAAGGGGTACCACTGTCGTTTTTTTTTCGGGCCGAATTTTTGAGTTTCGATATCTCAGCTCTGGAAGGGGCTAGAGCCTCCATTTTTGCACTCAGGTCTAAGTCTCATGGCCCTCTATCAGAATCCAGAGTTTTGGGAAGATTGGAGAAACTTAATTTTTCGCCCAAAAAAAAAAAAACGTAAGGGGTACCACTGTCGTTTTTTTTTCGGGCCGAATTTTTGAGTTTCGATATCTCAGCTCTGGAAGGGGCTAGAGCCTCCATTTTTGCACTCAGGTCTAAGTCTCATGGCCCTCTATCAGAATCCAGAGTTTTGGGAAGATTGGAGAAACTTAATTTTTCGCCCAAAAAAAAAAAACGTAAGGGGTACCACTGTCGTTTTTTTTTTCGGGCCG